ATTGACGACAAATACAAGGGAGACTGGAATGACCATTTCCAGCTAATTAGCCGTCATCAGCCAGCCATACTCAACCCAATTGGTGCTTCACCCGAAGTTCGAACCCGCGACCTTGTTAGTTAGGATCCAACGCTTTAACCACTGCGTCACAGGCTCTGTGCCTTGCCGGTTTTCAATCGGGAATATAAACAAAAGACGCCCTTCCTGGAAATTACATTTCTTGGGATGCCTGCTTCCAGTTTGTACAAAATATAAACACTGGCGGAGAGGCGCTCACCAATCGGCTACAGGACTCACTGGTCCCTTTTTGGTCTTTCGAGCTCATTCTCGAGCCGCGCCGCAGGGAGGCCAATGATATAGGCAGAATGCCATTACCAGTAAAGACCAGGAAAACGGGGATTGCCACTGAAGTCGAATATGTCCTTTGGGAAATAGAATTAATTGCGTGAATTTTTGAGAGTGGTCCCCCAGATACTTGACTTGCATATATACGGAGTAGAGGCTCGTGTTAGGAGGTAAAACCATTTCCGCACCGAGCTCGACATGTGAAACGCTCGTCTTGCGAAACGAATTTTCCCATTTAAAATAACAGAAATATGATTAATCCGTTCACTCTCTGAAAAACATCAATAATAACTGTTATACTGTAATTATAATATATGTAATCGTTATGCTTTTTACTGCTTTCAGTTGTGCCTTGCCTTGTGAAGATTCGTAACTGGCTTGAGGAAGACGATGGGGTGATGGTAAGGAAAAGCGTAACGGCGGGGAAGGAGAATCCAGCTCCGAGTTAGACGGACTCTCTCTTCTTCTGATTTTCAGCCAACTGCGACCCAGTTGTGGTCCCCTATAACTTGCTCGTTTTTTCTATAACTTTACAAGGAACTTATCTTTTGACAATTGCTTTTTTCTTCATCTGAGGATGTCCCAAATACGAGACAGCAAATTTTCATAAAACGAGTCCACACACTATGCAGTCACTGCGCTTTCAGGGTGATGCTTTTCCAAGAATGTGTTCATATGTATGGCGCTCCTCTTCAATGGGATCAGAACGGATGCGGTGCCACGCTTTGGTACGGGTTTCCGCCGCATCTTCCCGTTATTGTTGGCTATCTTTTCCATTTCTCCAATAATTTTGTTTGTAACATGGATTTCGATATGACGGTTGGGTTTCCGATTTACGCTCGAATTGTAAAGTTTCGGATGTTTAATGTCCTAAGCATGTAATTTGCTAACTTTGAGTAGACCTTTCTGAACAAAGCTTTTGAAGGTGGTTCCAAAAATTAAGATGAATATTTGAGCCGCAATTCATCAGCTTCAGTGGGATGAATGTGTTTTAAGCATAAGTTACCAACAGGCAGTCACTAATACATATATGCAGTATGCGCTAAAAAAACGTGCAACATTCATAACTTTGTAATCGTTTGCTCATTACTCGCATACCGGTGTGAAGGCATTTAGGAAAACTTAGAAATAATAATGAACAGCATAAGGCATTTTTAAAACTTAAAAGAAGTGGAAGAAGTACCAAGTTTTTGTTAAAAAATTTTTCCCGAAAATCCCCAAGCTCCACAGACGTAAAATCAGCTATGAGTTAGAATAATAAATTTAAATATTTTTTTACGTAACCACTCTCTTATATAAAAAGAACTTTTTTAAGTCAAAAGTTTTTGTACAGATTACCATTAGTGGATACCTATTTATTGAATATCGTCCAATAACGTCTGGCATCATTTCAATAGTTTTCAGTGTCTTCATTGATAAATTGCGCTTCTATTTGAAGTTTACATCAAAACCTTTAAAATAAGATACATACAAAGAGCATTTACCGAAAGAAAGTGTTTTTGGATATTAGTTCTGCGCAAGCGTAGAAGGCCTTCCCTCCTATGCAGGTTTGAATCCCGCCAAATGCCGTCACACTTGGCTCAACTAAATTGACCAAATCTGCCAAACCTCCTAAATAAACCCCACTAAAATGGTAATTTTTCTATCTTAGAGGTTTTCACATAATTACATCCACTCAATGTATCAAAATAATATGACCAAATATATGCTTAAGTACTAAGCCAAATTTCGTCATCAAAATTGCATGGTCTTTAGCGAATACTGTATGTATCACTGGATTCATCATATTGGCAATACAAGTCCTGGTTAAAAATGCAGTTATGTGCTTTGCCTTTGGGCTTCCGCTAGATTGTGCAGTTGTGTATTTTTTCTAGCATATTAATTTTCTAGGATATTAGGTCAAAATAGAGAATTTGTTTGTAACCAGCAGGCTAAGTCAAGTAAACTAGTACGTGATCATATAAATGCCTTAGCGAACGCACAGAAACAGCTTTATAATTGTTTTGTAAATAAGGAGCTGTTAACTGTGCCTGAAAATTTCGTCTGCATAGTGAGTAGTTCTGCTTCTAAACTGCCTCGATAAGATGCTACCCTCCTAGAATTCACTAGCATCAGTAGTCAGGCAATTGTGCAAAATATGTTAAGAGTGTCCAATCTAGGCTTTTCATGCAAAATTCCCGCTTGCCTGTGGCACGGTATCCGTTTGGGTAACCTACTACATTTACTGTCCATAGCCCTACCACAGACGTAGGAGGCTACTGCTGAGGTTGCACTAGGCACAAGTCGGCAATTTTAATGGCATCTAGGTTACGCTGCGTGGTGAACAGACTAGTGTTCGAGAGTTTGCCTTCTTTTTCACGGCTGTTGACTTAAGACTCAAGCATTCATATTACACATTATTATAATT